GGTCCTCAGACCTGAGCCTGAGCGAGAGACTCAAGGGGCACAAAGTCTGGCTTAAATCCAGGATGTTCAAGAAAAACAGACAAAACACCTTTATGTTTAATAGCTGAGAAATCCAATCTGCCTATGCAATTTGCTAACACAAATACAGGAAGGCCAAGAGCGATGGTGAATCTCTACCAAGACCCAAGTATTTATTACTATGAAAATAGTACCAAGGAGTTCAAACCCTCGTATCGCTGCTTAGTGAAGATCAACGTATCACTAGGCAGAAGATGCTATCCTACATGTAGATAAGGAATATCAAAATACACGTGCAACAAACGAGATGCGCAGGACAGTGGTAGAAAATACACAATTCACGTGGAAGTTTAGACAGAAACATGAAAAGTAGGAATAGAAGGAACCTCAAGAGATCTTGTAGTCCATCTACCACCCTAAAAGACAACAGCTTACCCGAACCAACCCAGAAGAGTATTCAGTAAATCTGTCCTAACATCCCTGGATGACACCTCCATACCTCTCCAGAAAATCTCATGCCTGGAAGGAGTCCTCACACTTCATATTCTGTGGGCTTTTAATTATTTTGTTGCTCTCCTTTTGCTAGCAGGTCTTTGTGTTTCTTTACAGAAGATGCCCTCAAACTGTGGTTTTGGTGCTGAAACGGGAAGGTTACTCCGTGTGCCCTGGTTGCAACACTCCTACTCATACTTTCTGACATAGTCTTCACTGTGGGTTTTATTTTCTTGTTTATTTTAACAAACCGTGACATTGTTGACTAATGTTTGCCTCGTTATCTCTGGTACTTCCCAAAGCTTTGCTGTAGAGATGCTGCCTGCTCTATTTCTACTTTGAAAAAAGTAATAACAATAAAATCTATGGATTAATATTACTGCCAGATTAACCAGTTGGATATTAGTGTTTACTGACATAAATCCTCCTGTTCCTACCAGCCCAATGGTGTGAATTGTATTTCTAGTTTCATATCCACCATGCCAGGACGGTTCTGAATTCCAGCGTTCTCCCTGTTGGACTTTCAGCCCTTCTACCTGGTTCTCGCTGATGAATTAATAAGCATATTCCCTGTCCAATCACCAGAAGGATGCTGAAGTTACACCAAAAATTTTAAATAGTCAGGCAAAATAATAAACACGACTTCAGTCTGGTACATTCATATGGAATACACTGATTAAAGGCCAGATTTTTTAAGCAAGATCAGATCTACATATCCAAAATGACATGACAAAGACTACATTCAGACCCAAAGAAACCTCTATTTTCTTAAAAGCTCATTAATGAAAATAGTGCATAGGTAAGATAGCTTCCTGCAAATCACTGTTCACTTCATGACATGACAAAGACTACATTCAGACCCAAAGAAACCTCTATTTTCTTAAAAGCTCATTAATGAAAATAATAGTGAATAGGTAAGATAGATAGCTTCCTGCAAATCACAGTTCACTTCACCTTTGACAATGAATAATTGATAACATTTCTTTGAAAAGGTCTTTTTTTCCAGTGAGTTTTGCCTTTACTTTGTGGTAATTTCATTTAGATCATTCTCCCCTTTCTTATTTCTGAATATGCTATGTGAAATGTGTGAAAAGCATAATTACAGTCAAGGTAGATTTAATTTTCTGTTTCTTCCCTGTCAGCAAGGCATGTTACCCCATCTAAAGGAAAAATTAGATTGCTTTGTAACAATTTGTTCTTATGAAATTCATGGTCACTGCTACTTATTTCCTTGATATGCCATGCAAGCTTCATAAATATTTGGGTTTTTTTTCAGGAAATAAATGTTAGTCCAACTGGTTTCTAATTCCCTATCGCTTCTTTACCCTTTTCCTCCTTTCTGAAGGCATGCCCTAGGGTTACCTTCTTCCAGTCTGGTTTTCATTCTTATTTATCATCTGCTCATTCTCAAAGATATCTGCCAACAACCTTTGGACTGCTCCTGCCCACTCGCTAAGTACTCTAAGGGGAACGTTACACTGTCCTTGTAATTTAAAGCCATCTGTTTTCTTATTTTTTTCAGCTTTTTTCCCCCCTGTCTCCTCTGATTTCTTACTTTACTGCTGCTGTTAGACTATTTCAGGGAAAAATCATTTATAATTTAAAAAAATAATAAATGTCATGCATGTTCATATCATTCAGCATTCAATATGCTTCCCTAGAATTTGAATAACAAAGCAATTATTACATTAATCTATGTCTAACTAAATGCAAATTGCTTTTTGCCTTCCCCTTCCTTTCCGTTTTTGCTTTAAATGCTCTTGCTGTTTCTTTCTGTAAATCATTACTAGCTTGACCAAGCTTAAACACTCATGTTTTCTTCTCGTGCTAAGGATCACTGCAAAGGTGGTGATTTATGCTAGATGTTTTTTAGTGCCCTTCTTGCTTCATTCTATTGGTGAGGTTTGAAAAAAATGCTCTTTGTCTTGCATCTTTAATGAACTGCATAGCTCCCTGAAAAATATCCTCCTAGACATTTTCCTCATGAGATATCACTATCTCAGTTTTACCAAGTCCACTTTGCTGAAGCCTAGTGCTTTCAACTAAAAAAACCAAACAAGCAAGCAAACAAACAAACAAAAAAAGCAAATAAAAAGCCTACAGAATAAAGATTTTTAAAAAGTTGTTGTTCTGTTCAGTGGCATTGCTTCTTTCCTTGAAATAATCACCATGGCCAACGTGGGAAATTAAATATTCCTGTACATGCCTATAGAGCTCTTCTTTGGGCAAAGCCATAAGCCATGGACAAAAGTCAAATATCACAGGGGAGAGAAAGGTATTTTAGGACAGGGCTGAGACCAAACAGTTTCTCTTCGTCATGCTACCAAATTCCCCCTCTCTACTTTCAGCCGCCCACCTCCGGCTTTCCTTCACCTCCAGCTCCGGCACGCCGCAGTCCTGGCTGCCACCGCGGCTCCGCTCCTGGAGACCCATGTGGGGGACAGCCTGCCCGAGACCATGGACATCATCCCCTCCATGCTGCCGGTCTCATCCTCAGCTCCAACAACATCCCCAAAACTTTGCTCATCCGAAGACCTGGGTCACAGCAACCTTTTGCTGACCAGCCGCCTTCTCCTTCTCAATCCATCGGTTTGGGCACAATGTTCCTCAACCTGTTCACATTCACGTTCACCTGTGCGCGCAGCTTCCACCTGCACCAAACCCCACCATTTCTGGGATGAAAACCGATCAGATCTGGGAGAAATTGCTGATAATACTCAACCCTTAGAATCTGTGGTCCTGCAAGATCTCCAGCGATCATCCCATCCTTTCAGAAAGCTGCACAAACCAAAGCGCAACCTCCAACACAGCCAGATTCACTGACCTTCTCCTTCCACACCCCAGAAAATCGCCTGCTAAGCCAGGATTTTCCAGACCCGCCCCAGCCCGGGGCACTTCGGCTCTCCCAGGCGGATGGAGAAGCAGCAGCTCATCTGCAGTTGGATGCAAGAAGGCGATCATCCCATCCTTTCAGAAAGCTGCACAAACCAAAGCGCAACCTCCAACACAGCCAGATTCACTGACCTTCTCCTTCCACACCCCAGAAAATCGCCTGCTAAGCCAGGATTTTCCAGACCCACCCCAGCCCGGGGCACTTCGGCTCTCCCAGGTGGATGGAGAAGCAGCAGCTCATCTGCAGTTGGATGCAAGAAGGACATCCCCTGCCGTGCTCTGCTCCCTCCGCACAGCACCATGCAGGAGGATGCCCGGGGGCACCGACAGCCCTGCCCCCCCCCAGACACCCACCCACACTGCTCAGACTGCTGCAGACGTGCTCACTGCCCTTTCGTCTTCCCCTCGGCAAACCTTTCTTTGACATCTCCGCTGCACTGGCATTTCCCTGAATACATTGACATTTCCAAAGGAGTCAGCGTGCAGAAGCAGCCCCCATTTTCCTGACCCCCCCTCCGCCTTGTCCCCACTCCAGCTCGCTGCCCGGATGCCCTCCTGAGACATGGTCTTACTGCCTTGAACGGGGCTTTTTTAATTTAATATATATTTTTTTTTTAATGTGAGCTCACTGTCAAAACACTGCCTGGCTGGAGCCTGACGGCTGGCTCGGGGATTTTCCAGGCTGGGGTTTTCAGAGCCTGTTTGGTGGCTGTGTCCAGGGTGCCCCAGTGCAGTGGACCAGGGCGGACCCACACCGACAGCACGAATTGCTCAGACCTGTTTCTACAGATGGCAGCTCAGGGACCCCACTGTAGCGGGTCTCTCTGGAAGCTGCTCCCAACCCTCGGTCTCTCCGATACCTGTCTCCCAGACCTCTGTTCCCTCCAATCCAGACCTCAGACCCCAAATCCCAGAGCCCTCGCTCTCCTTGCTCCCTGCTTTGGCCAGAAGTTCACTGGTGGATTGTACACACCCACAAATGCACATATTCCTTTATTAATTCCTTAATAATTCCTGATAATTCTTGCTGTCAGCCTTTCCGCTAAACATCCTGTGATAAACCCTATACAGTCCTGTAATTCTCTTGCTCAATCCTCAAATTTTCCTGCAGGCACCCCACAAAAATCCCATACCCATTTAGGCAATAATCCAGGATTCTGCGTAATGTCCTGGAGAGAGTTTCTTCTGATGAATTGTTCTGGTTTCAAAACAGGGACAATGGTTGAACCATTCACCTCTGATGGTCTTAGGAGCAGTAGATGTAAAGGAATGAGTCTGGCTGGTTTTCCCCTCCTTCTCACTGCCCTCTGATCTCTGTCTGCCCTTTGTGTTCGCTTGAGCAGACATTGTCAGCTGTCCTTGCACATGGAATCAGTCAGCAGAGCCCCTAACGAATCACAGGGTATCATTAACATGGGAAGCATTTTCACCCAGAGGATGTGCAGTGGGAAGATGTGCGCATTTGAGATGTTGGCTTGGCCCATGGCACACAGGAACGTCACCCCAGGTCCCGTCCCATGGCTGTGACCTGTCCCTGCCTCATACAGGGAGACCCAGGCAAGAGGACCCTGAGGATGCCCCTGCAGATCTGGTTAGCTTTATGCTGTAGATGATGGCGTGGGAAGGAGTGGCAGGTAGACGTTGGCCATGAAGACATGAGCGAGAGGGGAAACATGCTGGCCACACTGGTGAACCATAGACAAGCCACCCATGGGGATGTACAGGATCTGGACTGCCAGGATACGGGACAGGCAGTTGTTCAAAGCCTTGAGACGCTCCCTCTGGGACGCGATGCTCAGAATGGCCCCAGCAGTCAGAATATGTGACATGGAGATGAGGACTAACGTCAGAAAGAGACCAGCTAAACCAAACCCAATACCAGTTACTGAATGCCATGTCTGCACACACCAGCTTGACCAGGTCCTGATGCAGATAGCAGGAGTGGGAGGGAACACAGGACGGGCAGAAGGGCAATTCTTTTAATGCTACAAATACGGCACATCTGCACAGTGCAGCCAGCCCGATCCTGCCTATCCTGGCACCGGTGAGGATGGAGGAGTATTTCCACAGGTAGCAGATGGCCACATAATGACCAAAGGCCATGGCCAGAAGCACTGAGGACTCCAAGAACGAGTTAAGGATTGAGCAAAACAAATATGAAGACTAATCTGCCTGGCATCAAACCAGAATACACTCATCACAGCTGGCATTGCAGACAGAGACAAACCCAAACTGGTGGTGGCCAGCATGGAGAGGAATTCATTCAAGTCATGGAGGCTTGGATCAGTCCTGGTCGCAAACAGGATTGTGATGTTCCCCAGAAGCGACACAACACAAATGAAGGTGAAGGGAAGAGAGCCAGATGCTGACAGTTTCCAGCTCTGGGATGCCTGAAAGGATAAATGTGACTGGTGTGGAGGTGGACCTCTTGAGACGCATGATGTGCTGGAGATGGCCTGCAGTGAAAAAAGGAATATCAAAGAAATCAAAGCAGCAAATCTAGGCAAACACATGTCAGTGCGACAGATGTGAAACCAAAGCTAAAAGAACACAGATGTCAAATAGGGACATGGACCAGACACCACAAACTTCAGGTCCTGGGGAGCCCAGCAGATGGGCTAAGTTCAGTTATCTTAAGGTAAGGTTGTTCACAGAAGATATCTATAAAGGAGTTCATTTTTGGCAAATCTAGGCAAACACATGTCAATGTGACAGATGTGAAACCAAAGCTAAAAGAACACAGATGTCAAATAGGGACATGGACCAGACACCACAAACTTCAGGTCCTGGGGAGCCCAGCAGATGGGCATTCAGTTATCTTAAGGTAAGGTCGTACACAGAAGGTATCTATAAAGGAGCTCATTTTTGGGTTCTTCTCTGCATCACATGAGCTGCAGCATTGTAATGTAGTTTTCAGAAAAAGTATGCTGCTCATAAAAGTAGTTCTGCACTTACTAAACAAGGGAGATTTCAGAAATGTACCTGTGCCGTACCACTATTTTACAAAAACCTTAGTTCAGTGATTGGCACCAAAGAGCTCTTGCAGTTTTCTTGCTCTAAGCATTTGGGCAAAGGTCTTGGTAGTAGGTCTATAACTACGTGAGAAAAGTTCCCTTTTACACATTGGTCCAGCGGCACGGAGCAGCCCTTGGAGTCCTGGGGAGCACCGGCAGCACCCGCAGAGCTTCCTACCAGCACAGCTCACCCTTCCTTTGTCCCCTCTGCTGTGGCCAGCACTTACTGCAGAGCCAGGCAGAGCAACCGGCACCTCTGTGCCGACTGCCCAGGCTGCTGGATAAGGTCCTCTGGCAGAGGGCTCCCAGGAAAGTGATTTTCCCTCTGTGCCTTGCAAGTAGGCTGTGAGAAGAAGGCTCCTTTGGTCAGAGCCCAGCCCCTCCAGCAATCGCTCTCACCAGGAACGCTACGGGCAAATGTCCACATGTAAAGCTGGTGGGATCCCTGGTCTGCAAGCCGCCCTTGCAGTGGAAAGGGCACCGTCAGCCACTCAGCGTGCAAGCGCTTACCTGGGAGGCAATGCTCAGGACTGGAACCTCTGCTGTGCTGGGGCTCCTCACGTACAGCTCTGTGGGGTCTTGCTGTGCACTGGGCTCCTCCAAGCCTTGGTCTGCCTCTACTCCCCAGCTCAGGCATCTGGCTTCTCTATGAGACATGCAGAAAGCTTTGTGTGCTCCGAAGCATGGCTTTCCTCTACAAATGCAAGTTGGACTAGACGATCATTGTAGATCCTTCCGACTGAAACGTTCTGTTCTATTTTCTATTCTAATTAGGAAGACAAAAAGAGATGTTATGAACTTGTAGCAGACCATCATAGCTGCAGCTACAGCAGTATCTTGTCGACTCTACTGGTTACCTTCTTTGTTGTCTGGAGAGCAAAAGGAGTCAAACATCTCCCCCTGGCTGATGTCCCCTCCTCTGCTTTTCATCCCTTGCAGTTAGCTCCTGAGACCAAGGAGCCACATCCAACGCAGAGCCCTCCTTCCAGGTGATCTTGGCTTGTATGTAACCACGGCTGGGACCTCCCAGGCTGCAGCGATCAGTCACATACATGCATCTAAAACTCCATAAAAACAAGAAGAAACAAATCTGCAGCCAGCTTGGAAGCACCCTGTGACACAGCAAGAGCAGATGGTGATGCTGCTGTGCCCTCAGGCTGAGGCGAGTCTGGGCTCCTCATGCCCTGGACCAAGGCACTGGAAAGCACAGGCACTTTACCTTACTCAGCATCAGAAGTCACGGTCCAGAAGAGCTGTTTGGAAAAGAGGAGTTTCCTAGCCTGAAGATGCAGCAGCAGCAGCAGCAGCAGCAACAGCAGCAAAGGCTCGTGACTGGAGCATGAAGTTTGGCAGATCAAGCCTTGAATTGCAGAACTAATTTTTAGCTGTTTCAGGAGCACGCTTCCAGGGTCCCTGTCTGAACAGAGGGTGACTTCTCTGTAAGCGGAGACATTTTGGTCAGGACTGGAAATCTGTTCAAGATCAGGTCCCCCCCCAAGAAAACGAGGAGGCACATTGCAACGCAGCCTCTGCTATAGCCGCGCAGAGCAGGCAGATACCTGAACCCCCTGCAGATGTACAGCCGCCACCTCTCCGACAATGGGAACACCACCACCGATGTCAGGAATTAGTACAAGCACCCGAAGCGGGGAGAAGCTCCTCCAGGAGTTTGCACACAGCCTGTCTGTGGTGAGGAAAGTGCCAAAAGGCAGAGCAGTGGGATTCCAGCATGAAGATGTGGTAGGAAGAGCTCCTTCTTCCAGCCTCATGCTTTCACCTTGCAGCCCAGACCTTCCTGAAGATTTGCCAGGTGAGCAGGGTTCGGAAAGGGAGGAGGGAGTCGCTGCCAGCCCCCATCACTGCTCTGCCAGCACACGGCTGCTTACAACCTCTCTGCGAAAGCCCCGTGGGCAGCCCAGCGCTCCTGCGCCAGCCCTGGGGAATGGTCCAGCCAGGTCGTGAACAGCAGCCGAGCCTGCAGCAGCCTGCCCGGTCCTGTTTGAGACTCTGCCGCCAACCGCCCGCAGATTGCTGTGTCCACAGAGAGGGGACGCGGACCAGGCAACAGCTCAGGGGGCTGCATGGGACGCAGGGTGGGCTCCTGCACGTGCTGACAAGATGGCAGAGCCAGGTCTCCAAGTGATGGTCTGGCTTGGCACGAGCCCGGCCAGGACCTTGTATCACCCTCGTCAGTGGCTTCGTGCTGAGCAGAGGGACTCGGTGCTACCACCCTGCGGTCCAGCCAGGGTGCTCCTGCCACCTCCCCGTGCACCTGCGATGCGTGCAACTCACCCTTGGATGGCCCCGGTTTTACCGAAACAGGTGTCAGTGCTGGAAAAATCAGAGATGTCGTTAAAAATGTGTTAAATATCTCACTCCAAGGGACTGTGGTTTGAGTGGGGTGTTGGGCCACAGGCCCCCAGATCTCCCTTCCCAACCGACATGATTCTTTGACTTTCTGGATCCTGGTGCCCTGCTCCTGCGAGGAGGGAGGGTCCCTGCCGGAGGGGCTGGCAGGGAGCTGCCGGTGAGGGATTCCTGACCCCACTGAGCCCCAACCCACACGGTAACATTGCCCGGGATGTTTTCAGAGGGTTTTGGAATTGTCAGCCCAGCATGCCCCCAGTATCCAGGGTGATCCAAATTCGTGCGTGGCAGCAAAGGACACATCATCCAGATCTTCCCCTAATTCATCTTGGTCCTCGAGGATACAGAAAGAAAATGGATGTTAGTCATTGCATGGAGGGGCACCTTGCAAGGTGTGTCCCCCACCTGAAGGACACCCACCAAGCACACAGCCTGGGACAGAGCCAGGGGAAAGCTGGTGGCTGTGAAACTAAAGAAACAGCCAAACTCTTCCATGTACCATTTCAGCTGAAAGATGCTGTCAGCCACAGCGAACCCTGATGGGATCGGTGCAGGGACGGCAGAACCCCTCGGCCCCTGTGTGCCCCGAGAGCTGTCGGACAAATGCAGGTGCATTGGTCAGGGGGAGAGGAGTAAATGCTAGCTCCAGCTAAAGGATGACTCATGTAAGGAGAACATGAAGTGAGGTGATGTGTCCCCAGAACAGTGTTTCAAAGGTGAAATCAATTAGCTGGTGATCTGCAGCACAGATTATGGGAGCTCTTCACTGATGCAGAGCCTCAGCCCTCCTGCAAAACCGCTCCTAACAGGCAGTCCTCCCCGATACTCAGAGCTGCTCTGGCAGAGACATTTGGGCAGCTCACCCCAGTGGGACAGTAAACAGCAGAAGGGGGTGGGCAAAGACAGCGGGGGAATGTTGGGCCAGTCTGATGCTTCAAGATATCATGAGCAATGTAAGGTCGGTGCTTCCCCATCGCAGACTCAGCAGCCAGTGTTTGCTGTGTAAAGGAGCAAATCCAGACTTGCAGATGGAGGTGGTGACTGTTCCAATAATTAAGGAGCTAAACCTTTGCAAGCTGGGTGGTTTGCTATTTGTAAAATTCTCTTCAGTTCCCTCCATTTCTGGACTTCAAGAGATTTTCTTTGAAAACAGTTTCATTGAAACAAAGAGTGAACAGTGATATTTAGCATGCTGGGATTAATGCATGAGTGATTGCAGAGTCATAAAGTCTATCACAAGAAACAATCAAATACAGAATAGCACCAGTGAAACATTTGACGTTTCAGCTCAACTCAGGGCTGAGCAGATGAACTTAGACTGCGATAGGAGATGGACAGATGATCTAATCAGCCTCTTCTCTTCAAGGATGCCTTTTTCTAGAAGAGCTTCATGAAGCAAAGCCTTTCCATAGCACACAATGAACAATCCCAGCTCAAGTAATAACTCTGAGTTGCTGACTCTGCCCAGCAGACACAACAATCGCTATAGCCCAATGGATACCATATGATAACTGGAGAAATCCCCATCCAAAATATCCCCAATGCAAGGAAATGCTAAAGCAATGACACAGATGAGCTGCCTCTAGCCTGCAGTCACCCCATGCCCTCCACTCTGCTCTCAGTCAGATGTTGCCGCCTGTCTTGGTCAGAGCTGTCTCTGAGAGGTAGATCTGTGGATCTGTTTAGTTTTTGTGCTGTAGATGATGGGGTTCAGCACGGGGGGGGGGGGCCAGGGGGC